GTGTGTGTGTGTGTCTCTCTCAATCTTCCTCTTATCTCCCCTCCGCACCCCACACTCACCCCTTTGGATTTCAGCCCCATCGCTGCTTCCTCAGGAAGCCTTCCTTATCCCCACCCAGGAGAGGACCCTGTTATTCCCCATCCCAGCTTCCTGTACCGTTGTCTTCACAGCAGTTACTATGCTTTGTGATATTCGCTTACTTGTGTGGTTAATTGATTAACATCTAGCTCTCCCACTGGTCTAATTATTCCCAAAGGAGGAGTTGACCAGTGGCATTTTGAGCGGGGTAATGCTTTACCCGGCGATTGTCTGCGAACGGCAGGAGGGCCGAGCCCCACCTACTAAGTGTCTGCCGCCCTCCCAGCCACTGTGACAGCATCAGAAGCCCTCTGCCTTTCCACACACCCTGGGTGGCTGGACCCCAGCCACCTGCCCTAGATGACAGGAGCAGCAGGGACAGGAATCCTGTCTAGGTGTGTCCAGCCCCGGCTGCCTAGGAGGGCCCAGGACCCATCGGTGGCTCAGAAAACACACCTGGACGCATGTGTGGCAGCTCCTGCTTGTAGGTTTTTGAACAAGCTGCTCTGATCACCTTGGCAGGAGCTCACAAGGAATTTCTGGTTGGGGTCCAGGAAGCCGTCTTGCCCATGGGGGACTAGAGAGTGACCCTCAGCACCCTGGGGATGGTCACCCCGTGCTACTGCCCAGAGTGCAGTTGGGCAGGGCTGAGTCAGCCGCTGCGTCCTCTCACCTTCTGTGGCTGCTCAATGTCAAGGAGAGGATCCTCCCTTGACCACGTGCCAAGGAGGACCCTTGGTCCTTTCTCTGCTCGTAGGGGTCTCCACGGTCTCCCTACCTGCTGCCAACCTTCTTTTCTTTTTTTTTAAACTAAAGATGTGACTGGGGCTTCCCTGGTGGCGCAGTGGTTGAGAGTCCGCCTGCCGATACAGGGGACACGGGTTTGTGCCCCCGTCCGGGAAGATCCCACATGACGCGGAGCAGCTGGGCCCGTGAGCCATGGCCACTGAGCCTGCGCGTCCGGAGCCTGTGCTCCGCAACGGGAGAGGCCACAACAGTGAGAGGCCCACGTACCGCAAAATAAAAAAAAAAAAAAAGATGCGACTGGTTCATTCTGTCTAGATCCTAAGCATTTCCTTCTTTTTTTTTTTTTTTGTTGGAGTATAGTTGATTTACACTGTTGCATTAGTTTCTGCTGTACAGCAAAGTGTATCAGTTACACATATACATATATCCAGTCTTTTTTAGATTCTTTTCCCATATAGGTCATTACAGAGCATTGAGTAGAGTTCCCTGTGCTATACGGTAGGTCCTTATCAGTTATCTATTTTATACAGAGTAGCGTGTATATGTCACTCCCAATCTCCCAATTTATCCCTCGCCTGCCCTTTCCCCCTCAGGTAATCATAAGTTTGTTTTCTACATCTGTGGCTCTACTTCTGTTTCGTAAATAAGTTCATTTGTACCATTTTCTTAGATTCCACAACCTTCTATTCAGGGCTGCCCAGAGAGCTGGCTGCCAGGAAGAAACGAACTGGAAAGTAGAGGCCAGGATGTGACAGCCACGGTGCTCTGACTTCTACTTCGAGGGTCTTTGAGCTTTTCCCTTCCTCTCAGTGATGAGCTTCTTTCCGCTATCATCCAATTTCCAACCACTTCACTCAGATTCCCAGAACTTTCACCAAATCAGCCAGAATTAACACTGGGCCTCATAATCCATTTGTCCAAGAGCATTTGTCAAGCACTCACTTTGTGTCATGGGCCCACCTAACGTGGACCTCATGGCCCACCATGTCCCCACTTCCTTGGCCTCGTGCGTGTATGTGTGGCCTGTCTCCTGTCCTGTGTCTACTCGCTCCATCTGGTTTAACAAGATGGTTTCAAACCTGCTGTGCGCTGAGATGGTGCTAAGGCCCTGGTCCCTCAGCACCCAGTAATTCCGCACTTCCCCGACCTCACGAGCTCACAGCTGATCCTGTTCGCCTTGTCATCTGTCCACTTTATTTAACCCCACCCCTTATTATGTGTCAAGCACCCTGAGGAGGCCTCCTGGGGACCCTTCAGAGCTGGGAAGAGTTTATAGATCTGAGACCGTCTCAAGTCAGAGGGTTTTAGTTGGAAAACGAGGGTCTAAAGTGCAGTCAAGATACCATAAAAACTCCGAGAGGAGAGTCCAGCACGAGTTGGAGCAGCACAGTAGAAACTGTAGGAGGGATTAGCATCAGGCTGTCCCTTAAAGGTAGGCTAATAATAATAATAGCTGTAGCTAGTGCTGGTTGAGCCTAACAGTGTCCTAATCGATTTTTATGGGCTATCTCCCTTAATCTTTGCAATCACCCTACAACATAGGTGTTAAACTTCCGCCATGTTACAAACAAAGGAACTGAGGCACACAGATATAAATAATTTGCTTAAGTTCGTACAGCTTGCAAACGGCAGAGCCAGGATTTGAACCCGTGCACTCTGGCTTTGGGAACAACGCTCTCAGACACCATCAGGAGGGTCTGGGGATATTCGCTCTCTATACCTGTGTAACGCAGACCCCCAGGTCTAGCAGCCTAACCCAACGTATGTTTGCTGCCTCAGTTCCGACGGGTCCAGAATCTGGGAGTGGCTTAGCTTGCTCCTCTGGCTCCCGGCCTCTCTATCCAGGTGACAGCCAGTGGTCACCTCAGGCTCAGCAAGGGGAGGGTTTGGCTCCAAGCTCACTCTCATGGCTATCGCAGGACTCCCGTCTCGGCTGGCTGTTGGCTGGAGCCCTGGACGCCTCGCCTCGTGGGCCTCTCTGCGCAGGGCAGCTCCCGACACAGCAGCCAGCTTCCCTCCGAGTGAGACAGAAGAGGACAGGAGCCACAGTCGCTGTGCAGCCTCAGCATGCAAGTGACGGCCCGTCACTTTTGCCCGCGTCGATTCATGACAAGCGAGTCGCCAAGCTCAGCCCACACCCAAGGGAAGCGTATTACACAAGGGCACGGACCCCAGAAGTGGGAGGGGCCCCAGGAGCTCGTGGAGGAGACGGGCGCCCCCAAACAACATGGGGCGTAAGCTCATTATCTTCTTGTTTTACTCCCCAGCCCAGGAATCCTAATTGTGTCTCCTTAAGTAATAAGAACAGCCTCAGAGTGAGTTAAACTTGACTCCCAGCCTGAGAGAACTCGTCCTCCTGCTTTTCCCAGGAAGTAAGTGCCGAATAAGACGAGCATTTCTTCATGCTCCTCTGCACACACAGCTATGTAAAGAAACACAAGTGTATTTGTACTCGTTGGCGTCAGGCTGAGAACTTGGCACTGCCGTTCCCTCTACCCACTCGCTCGCCATCTGACTTCAGCCAGCCCAGCGCCTCTCTAGTGCTTAGTTTTTCATCTTCTCCCTTCCTCCCCAGCTCCCGCAATGAAGAAATGCCCCCATGGTCCCAGTGTCAGAGTTTCCCCCTTCAATCATCTCCAGGCATCACTGTCAATGTCACCTGAGAATCCCTGTGCACACAGGACAGGCCGCCTCTCGGAGACCAGCCATGGTCCCCCGTGGCCAAAGGGCAAGGCCCTAACTTGAGTCCGGCACTCGAGACCTTATCCCACCCTATCCTATAGCCCACACCTGCTCCCCACACAGCCCTCCTCGCTCCCCCTACGCTGGTCCACGCACCTGGAACCTTCCTGCTTCCGGGCCTCCACTCACTCCATTCCCCAACCTTCGAATACTTTTCTTGTTCTTCTTGAATTACCCAAACCCTGGTCTCCCTTCAAGGTCAAGTTCATGCCCCACCTTCTCAATGAACCTCTCCAAGGCTACTCCGACTCGACTCTCCAAGGAAGAACTCGGAGGAGGCAGGGTGTGCTCAACAGGGTCACCGCAGCAAGCAACCTACGCTAGAAAAGCCGTCTGAGCTCCGCTCCCTAAACCCGCGGTCCCGCCCTCCTCCGCATGACCTGTGACCCTCTGGTCACCCCAGACTCAGTCTTCCAGCTCAGCTGGGCAACGGTTCCCAACGCCCTCTCATCTGAACACCTGCTTCCTCCGAGCCATGCGCATCTAACCCTAACCCCGACCGAGTCTGAGTACTTTCATGGCCGGGCTGTGTCCAGTCCATCTCTGAGTCCGGAACCGAGCTGAGACTGGGGTAAATATTGTCAGGAATGAGGAAGATGGTGGCAACTGCCCCTTAAGAGGACTCCCCTCTAAATAATACACCGGAGATGCCTCATTCTCTTTCTTCGGTGCTCAGAAACACAAAGCTATGTTCCTGCTTGAAATCGAAGAATATAAACTCAGTATTACGCTGACGCAGAAGAAAGGATGCGAAGCGCTAGAGGTCAATCAGCCACAGCAACTGCTGCAGAAGCAGCGGCCACAGAGCCCAGGAAGACGTGTGCCTGAGGCCCCATTTCCCAGCACCTCCAGGTGAGATGGGGAGGTAGCAGCACAGATGAGGAAGAGGCCGACATGAAGCAGATCCGGGGTGAGCATCGCACCCTACCTCCTAACACAAGGGTGAACCCCAAGTCTTCCTGGTAATGCCTCCCGCTCCCTGGGCCCCATGGGACGACACCCACATTACACACTGCACATTTACTGTTCAGCTTTACATTCTGCTGTTCTCTTTTCGCACGTTGTTCAGAAATAAACACTGGTGCCCACGTTACATTCTGCTTTTACACAGCTGCCAGAGAGGAGACATGCCCGGTGCTCTCTGAGACGGGAAGGCAGGGAGGGCAGGTCTTTTGCGCAGAAGGAGGAAGTTAGCTGCGGTGAAAGTTGACAGGTGAGGGCATGTGCAGCCCCGCGTTTCTCCTGGCACTGCCACCACCAAGCAGGGGCCTTGAAGGGAGTCCTGTAACTGCTCTCAACCGAGGCTGGCTTTTCTGAAAAGCACCTTATCTCAGACTTTTGGGTCTGAGGACCACTTCATACCCTTAAAAATGAAAGAGCTTTCTTTCATGTGGGTTGTATGTGAAGACATTTACTGTATTAGAAATTAAAACTGAGAAAAATTTTTGGAGGTTTATCAATTTGTATCCAAACTAACAATCATAAATTCATTACATATTGGCATAACTTTTAAGAGAAATCACTATATTTTCCAAAACAAACAAAAACAACGGTAAGAAGGATGGCAACAGTTTATAGTTTTCCCAAGCTCCTAAGCGTCCGAATTCACAGAAGACAGCCAGACCCTCACATCTTGCTTCTGCACTCAGTCTGGGACATTATGCTGCTTTGGCTGAGATGTGCGAAGAAAATTTAGCCTCCAACAAATACGTAGCTGGAAAGAGAGGACAACTTTGTAATAGGATTTTCAGATGATGGTGGATACTCTTTGATACTACACCGAGACATAACAAGCGGTAGTTTCTTTCTTTTTTTTTTTTTAACATCTTTATTGGAGTAAAATTGCTTTACAATGGTGTGTTAGTTTCTGCTTTATAAGCGGTAGCTTCTTAAAGGTTAGTTGCCATTGGAATCTGAAGCCATATCAACTCATTTTTTAATCACTGTTAATTAAAATCCACTAGCTGTCAAGTACTTTGAATAGTTTTGCTTTGTCTGAGGCGTGGCAAAAAGAGGTGGGTAAGGCCATCCATTCGAGCCAGGTTGCCAGAGTTGGAATCCTGGCTGTCTTACTTACTCCCAAGTTAATTAGTTCCTCTGTGCCTCAGTTTCCTCAGCTGTAGAATGGGTCAATAATAATAGCATTGCCAGGGCAATGAGACGCCTGCGCACCGCAACGAAGAGTAACCGTGCTCACTGCAACTAGGGAAAGCCCGCGTGCAGCAACGAAGACCCAACGCGGCCAAAAACAAAATAAACTTAATTAAATGTAAAAAGGCTACAAACTGCACAGTCCCATAATACAAAAAATAATAATAATAATAGCTTCTACTTGGCAGTACCACTGTGAGAACCAAGTGGCCTACTTACACTGAGGCTCTCACTGGGCGCAATTCTTGTTACTGTGGGCTCACCATTTGCAGACATGCTCATCCTTTGGGAGAGCCTCAGGGACCGGCCGGCTCTCCCAGCACCCAGGCAGCCCATGGTCCCCACCTTGGGTGACGGCGTGGCCAGGAATCTGGAAAAGTTAAACAGAAGGTAGCTCCTCCTGGCTCTCTCCCCCTCCTATCAGTGAGGGGTGACGAGTATGGACAGACAGGAGCCCTTCGGTCTGGAAATCTGATGGGTCTGGGAGGAGATGGGGGTTCTGGGGGTTACCCAGGACCCCGTGTTTCCCCTATAGCTGTCCCAGGTGGTCCACAGTCATCACCTTCCAATGTGGGCACGGGTGACAGGAAGGGTGACCCGGGTAGCACCCACAGGTCCCGCCCAGCCATCCAAGCAGGGGAGACACCTGCATTTGGGGAAAGCTGTGTGAAAGCCCCCATCACAGTCCACACGGTCTCCACACCCAGACATGGGCCACGTGCCAGCCCTGGGGGGAGAACCTGGGGGATGGGACCCCTGCCCCACGAGGCACAGCCCCAGAAATGGTGTCACCGGAGAGGGGCAGCAGGGCGGAGGATGGGCTGCTGACGGTTCAACCTCAGATTCTCAGAGAGGCATGGAGTCAGCACAGGTGGCTCAAACGGGAAGTGCCTGCAAAACAGGTAACAACCCCCTGAGCGAAAACACACGCGACAGGCGAAAGGGGGATCCGAGCAGACGGGCACAGACATGGGGCTGCCGCAGCCGCTGGCCCTCCATCCACGAGCCCGTCAGGTGGGAGCTTCCTGGGAGTGTTCCACCCACAGTTTCATCTTGAGGAAGTCTCCTGACCCTCAGTTTGCAATGACTCTGGACCCACTCTGAGTTCCTTTCATGAGAGATCTTTGTCAACATCACCACCACTCTTGCCAAAGTCAGGAACTAAGGAAATGAATGTAGCTGGATAAAAAGTAAATTAAGGGCTTCCCTGGTGGCGCAGTGATTGGGAGTCTGCCTGCCGATGCAGGGGACACGGGTTCGTGCCCCGGTCTGGGAAGATCCCACATGCCGCGGAGCGGCTGGGCCCGTGAGCCATGGCCGCTGAGCCTACGCGTCCGGAGCCTGTGCTCCGCAATGGGAGAGGCCACAACAGTGAGAGGCCGGCGTACCGCAAAAAAAAAAGAAGTAAAATCAAAGGACACAGTTACGTGGCTAAATGCTCAAAATAAGAAGGAAAAAGATGAGGAGAAGGTGGTGGAGCGGTGAGAAGCGGGAAGCTGGAAGAGGACGGGGGGAGGGGGAGAATGCCCACCGTGGAGAGCTTACAATGCTCATCACCACGTGTAATCACAAGAAAGTGAAGGTCAAAATATCATCCCCTTAACTAAGGGATCTGCCACAAATCACGAAATGCCAGGCGTACCCCAGACTCCAGAGCCTTCTCCCCTCCTCTGCTAAGATTGAGGGACTTGGGAGTGGGAAGATGTTGGAGAAAGTCAAGCACATCCGCATTTGCTCGATAGCTTGTTGTCAGCATTTTACACACAGGCAACCATAAGTGACCTCCATGAGTAAGCAAGACACAGCAAATGAGGCTGTGACAAAAGGGTCCAGTTTGATATGACGGCGGGCGGGGCATCGTGCTGGGGTCAGGAGAGCAGGGCTCCAGGGCCAGACCTGTCTCCAGCACGCCGGGGCCCATGCCCAAACTGCTGAAAAGCTGGATTTCTTGGCCCTGTAAAGTGATGAGCGGTGGGGTGGATGAATTCAGTAGTTTCTGAAACTCTCTTCTGAGGAGTGCAGGTGTAATTATGAGACGTCAGCCACTGATACCACCATGTGTGTTCACCCTACAAATTCCATGAACTCCCAATGAACGTGCAAAGACCATCATTGTTTTCAGATAATATGACTTCCTAACCAAAAATGTGTAAAGAAGTCATCTAACGATATTATCAGAACCAAGAGTTCTGTAAGATGGCAGGAGGAGAACAACATAAAAAAGTCAGTAGCTCTCTATAGAGCAATAATAATTAGAAAACTTTTAAGCTCCCATTACCATTTATAGCTTATAAAAATAATATACAGGAATAAACCTAACCAGAGAAATATAAGACCTATATAAAGAAAATTATCAAACATTTCTTATTAAAAATCCTACTCCTGGATGCGAAGCCTCCTTTTTTAAAGACATCAGTTCTCCTCCAATATAGACTATAAATGCAAAACAGAAAGTTGCTGTGGAATTAACAAGATGATTCTAAACATCTTACAGAAAAAAATTACACAAATTTTGTCTAAAAGATTTGGGGAAAAAAAGACAAACTATTAGGGAGGACTTGCCCTTCTAGCTATCAAAACATATAATAATCTGTAATAATTAAAGCACCAGGAATATTTGTGCAGTGATAGACAAATAGACTAGTGGAATATATTAGAGTCCAGAAAGAGACCCACTGGAAATGGAAACTCAACATACAGTAAAGGAGGGTAAAGCAGTTTTAAAACATGGCCACAGATCCTTTGAAATGTCTTCCATTTAGAGGTGGGATCTATGTCCCCTCTCCTTGAATCTGGTTGGACAGGTGACTTCCAACCAATTAAGTGAAACGTGCCTTCCAAGGTGAAGCCCTAAAAGGTCATGCAGCTTCTTGCTTGTTCTGCTGCCTCTCAGTGCCTTGAGATTCCGCCAAGAAGTCAAACCACCCTGAGGCCTCCATACTGTGAGGAAGCCCAAGCCACACAGAGGTCAAGTGTAGGTGATCCCATCACAGTCCCAGCTGAGCCCAGCTTTTAAGTCACCCCAGCCCAGGTGCCACAGTGACAGGCAGCCCTGATCCGAGGTCAAAGCCAATCATTAGCTGGTGTGTGGGTACTCAGGTCAGGGCCCACATCCTGATAGGGACCCAGTGGATGGTGGTCTCCTTTCCTTTCCCTTCCCTGATGGAAACCGTCACAGGGAAGACACAAGGCAGCCCCTGCAGGCGTCATGTGTTTCTTGTAATTACGGCAGTAGGAGTCCGGAATACTGGGCCATCCCATCACTGGGCACGGCTGTCTTCAGAAAGTGTCTCCATCTTCCATCAGTGGATCTTTGCATCTGTGATCAGGGAAGCCAGAGGCTGGGAGAATAAGGGCAGTGCCTGCTCTGGGCTCTGGAGACAGTGACTGCCTTGCTGGATGGTGCCAGGGAAACAGAACAGAAACGGCTGGAGAATGACCCTAGGAGATGAGCCCAGAGCTGGCGTCTAAAGCTCGTGGGACAATGACAGTGACAGCTCGCTGGACAGCAATGAGATGGCCACTCACTGGTGTGCCAAGAAAGGACTGGCACTTCTTCCCGCTACTTAGTCCTTTCCATTCTCATAAGCAGGGGCATTTCTTTTTCTCATTCAGAAGACACCAGATACAGAAAAATCAAAGAACAGACACAGAGCCCAGAAAATGCCGGGACAAGGACTCACATCTGCCCGAGGTGAAGCATAGGTGGGCCAGGCCTGAGCAGGTGGGGGTACGTTTCTCTAGAAGAAAAACACTGCCTACACTAATGTACCTCCTATTAAAAACTGTCCAGTTCAAAAGGCAGAGGTACACAGCACAATCAGACAATCAGTGTGGCACTGCTCATAAAAGAGAAAATTTGGAAGCAACTTAGATGGACGTAGGAGAGGAAATCCGCTGAATAAAATGGGATGCTTACCCACAGGATGAAATTTCAGGCGGCCATATAGCTGATGTTGTATGGGGAGGTTTATTGACAAGGAAATATGTTTAGAAGAGGTTGCCAAATGAAAAAGAAACGTTTGCAAAGACGGACATAGAATACGATCCAGTTTCGGCCGAAGGATATAAAAGGCAGGAATTTACATACAGGCGTAGAAAAGAATTTGGCAGTTAATATCACAAAATACAGCAGCATGCCCATCTGAGTGGCGGCGTAATGGGTAGTTTTATTTTCTCTTTTTTATTTTGTATTTTCCAAATTGTGAACATGTATCAATTTTATGTTCTGGAACAAAATAAATGTTTTTGTTTCATTTTTCAAATCCCACGGAATTGAACCATATCTGTGGTTTACAAGCTCTTTGGCATTAAACGATCCCGGGATTCGCTGAGGTCGCCGGAGCAGGTATTCTGGTCTCTACTTCATGGCTGGGGAAGTGGGGTTCAGGCTGACTGGTTCCTGCCTAGAACAGAGGGACCCTAGGCTGGATCTCCGGGGCTCTTTCTTCACTGGGGAAATCAAGGAAGCGCAGAATCTAAGAAGGACAAGCGCCCCAGGTCCCCCAAGTCTGTGCCAGCCCCCAGCTGGACTGAAGACCCCAGACCAAGGCGCTGCTTCAGCTCTACTCAGCTCCAGTGTCGTCATCTTTGTGCTTTGTGTTTTTGTGTCCAGTTACTTCCTGTCACGACGGAGGTTGCTGCCCGAGCTCTGGGCCACAGCGGAGCCTCCAGTGGGCACTTTTCTCGCCATAAATGGCCTGGGCTCCCACAGACACCGAGCTCTCCTCCCAGCCTGTTCCGGCACACTCCCGACCTCCCCGTCCAGGAGGTGTGACATCCGTGGGGTCAGCTCCCGGAAGCTCTGAGTCTCTGGGGGTGGGTTCCAGGCCGGGTCAGACCAGCCTGTGTTAGATGCTCAGCATCTAGGAGATTTGCTCCTGCTTGGCGGGGCTGACCTGAACCCCGCGGGGAGAAGAACGGTGCCCCGTCAGAACCATGGGAATCTCTGGCCCAGAAGCAAGCAGCGTGGAGGGCCTTCCCCGCTGGCGGAGAGCAAAGCCTCTGAGGCCTGGGGCAGAAGTCCTTTACTCTGACCAGGCCTCAGAGGAGGCAGCAAACCCTTGGGGTTTGGGAGCCAGCTGAGCCTGAGCGGTCAGCCAGGGAGCCCGTGGCCTCGCCGGGCAGGGGTGTGGGCCGACGCCATCACCATTTGTCCCGACTGCCGAGCGGTCCTCCCCCACCCCTGCCTCGGTCTCTCCGTTTCATGGCACCCTCTCCCGCTGACAGCAACGGGCCTAAGCAGCTACGTCACCTTCCTGGTGAGGCGTCTTCAGCTGTGCCCAGCTCAGACTCCCCCTCCCAGCACTGAAGGTGCCTCAGCGAAGTTTTCCAGTTTCCAGATTCATCCACTGCACCCCACACGGCCCTGGGGTTCCAGGCACCCCGGCCACTGGCTCTGCCCCAGCATCTCTGCATCCTCCACCTTGGCCAGCACCTTGACCTCCTGGAGGCCCTTCTCCTGCATCAGTTCCCACTGGAACCCTGCTCGTCCTTGGCGATCCTGCTAAAATTCCCCTCCACTGCCACACAGACCCCTCAGACCAGACCCCTGCCACTGGAATTAGACCCGGCCCTCCCCAAGCACACTCACTCTTGAGCCCCTGTTTCCACAGCACTTGCAGCCTCTGCCTCAGTCCTAGATCCACCTGGTCCCCCCGACTGACTTCTGCAAGGCAGAGACTACCTCCTGTTCATGTTCGAATCTCGCTACCCCACCACCATCTCCTTCCAGGACAAGACCCTCTTTGTACACAGTAGGCAGTCAGTGAAGGCTTGTAATATTGACATAACTTCACGGCCAGCTACAGATTCTGCTCCTAAGCTAGCAAAATGGCAGTACTGTTTGGTACAATGAAATCCACAGGTTGGTGAAAATATTCTCAGAGGACCCCACATCCAAATCTTCGAAGCTCTAAGCTCCCCGTGGAATCTTTTTTTATAAATCTCCTTCAATTCTTGAAAAGGCCTCAACCTTTCACCATGGGCCCTGCGTAGCCTCTGCCCTGAATACCTGCAGTGCTCTCCCCATCTTGCCCAGCCGCCCCAGGCACAAAGTAGAATCAGCTTTGGAAATCAGAACCCAGAAGGAGAAGCCCCCACCCCCACTAAAACTTCCTGGGAGGGGCCTTGCTAACCTCCCATGACCATAGGTTATAGGCAAGGCATCTGAACCATGGTGCCGTGTGCTCCTAAACAGATGACCTGTCACCATAGCAACACTCACATCTGTCATTACCTCAGAGAGAGAACACGTTTTAAAAGAAATCTGCTTGGCAACAT